CTGTGGGAAGGGCCAGTGGAGGTGAGCCCTCTTGGGACAACTGAACACCACAAAGGTCATTTCTCCCCGGACCCCAAAGCCCTCGACCTTACACTAACTACTGGCCAGCAGCTTAGATCAAGTTTCCAAGGAGGAAAGCACTCATTAGTGTAACAGATCACTTCACCCTCAAACTGGAACTTAAACTGCCAAAATCATTACATGCTTATTACAATTCATTGAAGCCTCAGATAATAAAATTGATATAGAAGGGGAAGGGGGCGTGGCAGGACCTACAGGTTGGGAGTCAGCAAAAGTCACCCTCACCCTCCACAGCTTCATGAGACTACAATGAACAGGGAATTTTTTTTTTTTTTTTTTTTTTTTTGCGGGGGGAGAAGGGTGTACTCCTACTATTTCAAACTTAAATATATTCTGAATAAAAAATGGCTTTCCAGTTCTGTTTGGTAAGTTCTCTCAAGTCAGATTTTAAATCGTGCACCCAAAAAAAAACCTTGATTTTTTTTTTTAGCATAAGTCTATCCTACTTTACATAAATAACACACATTATCAGAACAGAATTTGCAGCACAAAAAGACGGTTATTCATGTTCCCAAAGCGATCACTATTTGAGTTTCTTTCAATGGGTGGCTCTACTGTTTTGTTCACAGTATGGTTTTGAATCACCTCAACTTTTCAGAAGCACATGGACTACATACATCAAAGTCCACTTGTGGCTTTGTTAAAAGTACCCCAAAGTATTTCAAGTGTTACCCTATACACCCCTATTTTGTTAAAGGCAAAATAAATACATAAATACATACATAAACAACATAATCCTCCTTCATCTGTTAACATTGCCAACCATTCAACACACATTCCGCCTCATAAGCCTTTTTAAGCACCCTGGGCTCAGCCCGTGGGATTCCTGAAACATGGTAGCCCTAACACTGTTTTCCAAGGTAGAGATTTCTAAAAGGTGAGATGGAGAAATACACAATTGCTTCAAACAGTGTGATCCAGATACAAATACAGTCCCAAAATACACCAGATATGAAATCTCTGTGCCAGAAACCAGGGTCACTGGCACCGTGGAATCAAGAACCATTTTCTGTGTGTAAAGTACTAGGTGCCTAGATCTGCCAGTAAGCATCTACCAGTTTCCTAGCATAAGAGTCAGCAAAAGTCAGGAATGAAGCACCAGGAAAGACAGTGAGTTACACAGTGAGCCTCAACGAAGATCTCAGAGCTGCTGGGCGAGGGCTGCCAATTCTTTCTTATGACTTGAAGGTAATAACAGAGAAGAGGTGATGGTTACTGAGCACTTACAACGGCAAAGCTGCTTGAAGCACCTTCACACCCATTCACTCATGGTACCTGTTAAACTTTGGGACAGTGATTATGAAACTTTTTGGATGCCTTTACACTCCTTTTTTTTCTTTTCTTTTCTTTTCTTTTTTTTTTTTTTTTTTTTTTGAGATGGAGTTTTGCTCTTGTTGCCCAGGCTGGAGTGTGATGGTGCAATCTTGGCTTACTGCAACCTCCACCTCCCAGGTTCAGGCGATTCTCCTGCCTCAGCCTCCCAAGTAGCTGGGATTACAGGCATGAGCCACCACACCGAGCTACTTTTGTATTTTTAGTAGAGACCGGGTTTCTCCATGTTGGTCAGGCTGGTCTCAAACTCCCAACCTCAGGTGATCCGCCTGCCAATCCCAAAGACCTTTTTGTTTATGTAGGTTATATCCACTGATATTTATTGTATTTGAAATTAAAATGAAAAAAAATAGATATTAATATATTTTTAAACAATACAGCTTGGGCAACATAGGTAGGCTCCATTCTCTGTAAAAAGTAAAAAATTCCACTGGACCCAATTGTTCATGCCTATAATCTCAGCACTTTGGGAGGACAAGATGGGAAGATTGCATGAGTTCAGGAGTTCAAGACCAGCCCGGGCAACAAAGTAAGATCTAATTTATATAAAAATCAAAAAACTACCTGGGTGTGATGGCACACACCTGTGGTCCCAGTTACATGGAAGGCTGAGGTAGGAGGATGCCTTGAGCCCAGTGGGTTGAGGCTGCAGTGAGCCATGTTCATGCCACTACACCCTACTCTGTGTGACAGAACAAGCCTTGTCTCAAAAATAAAAAATTAGCTGGGCATGTTGGCATGTGCCTATAGTCCCAGCTACTCAGGAAGCTGAGGTAGGAGGGTTGCTGGAGCCCAGGAAGTTGAGGCTGCTGTGAGCCGTGATCACACCACTGCACTCAGCTTGGGTGACACAAAGACCCTGTCTCAAAAATAAATAAATAAAAATTAAAAAACAAGAGTAAACCTATTACACATTAAACATAAATAACATTTTTATGACCAATAACAGTATTTTCCAAAACAAAAAAAAATAGTGAAAAGCATGGCATTGTTTTACAATTTTGCAAATCTCCTTAATATCTGGGCTTATCAAAGACAGTTGGACTTTCCTATCTGCATCTGTGTTCAATCTGTTATACTATCTCAGCTTATGTAGCTGCAAGAAACTTTCACTGTAGTCTTCTGAGGATGAGAATGAAATGGGAAAATGAATATCTTAGTATTGTTATGAAAATAGTTTTGACCTTGCAGACCTCCAGTAAAAGTCTTGGGGACTCCTGGGGGTACCCAGGCCATACTTTCAGAACCTCTGCCTTATGAGTTATGAGACATTATCTTCATTTTTCAAATGGGCAAACTGAGACAGAGAGGTCAAGGAATTGTCCAAAGCCATACTGCTAGAATAGCTCAGAGCAGATAAAATGCAATGAGCATAACAGACTTAACCTCGTTTGTTTGTTGCAAGGATTGAATGAGATCGTGAATATAAAGACCAGGACATCCTGCTTGGCTTATCACAAATGCCCAATAATATTAATGTTTCCCCACCAGGTGTGGTGGCTCACGCCTGTAATACCAGCACTTTGGGAGGCCGACGCAGGTGGATCACGAGGTCAGGAGTTTGAGACCAGCCTGGTCAACATGGCAAAACACCGTCTCTACTAAAAATACAAAAATTAGCCGGGCATGGTGGCAGGTGCCTGTAATCCCAGCTACTTAGGAGGCTGAGGCAGGAGAATTGCTTGAATTTGGGAGATGGAGGTTGCAGGGAGCCAAGATCACGCCACTGCACTCCAGCCTGGGTGACAGACCAAGACTCCATCTCGAAGAAAACAATAATAACAATAATGCTTCCCATTCGGCAAAATCTGGTAGAAAAGCTGAAGAAACTTCCCACATTTCTGATCAACTCATCATACATATGACACCAGCAAGAAAAAATAAAACTCCACCATAGGTTTTTTCCAGAGGAGGAGCTTTTCCTCAGAGACAAGACCTTGGCCCATTCCTCAGCACAAAAGCAGCCTTTGATGACTCAGAAAGGCAGGGCCTTATTCCAGCCTCCATTAGGCAAATGACCCTGGTGGACTGGGCATCTGTCACCTTGTTCCTTGGGAAACTTGAGCAAGCCAAGAAAGCTGCTCCATTATTTACAGCATTGTTTTTGCATCACGCTGTATTTACAAGGAACCCTCAACAGACAAAAATGACACCGCCAGTGTGTGCAGCCAAACCTTTAGCAGGAACCAGCATCTGTGGTCTTGCTGGCCAGGTGCTCAGCTCTCCTTGTTAATCAACTTTCTTAGCCCACGTGGCCCACCCACTCCTGCCTCCGGTGGGCCCACAGGGTGCAGGTCACTTCCCTTCTGTGGATTTGGGAAGTGATCACACACTTGGGGAAGTGGGACTAGTGACTTTCAGACCACCACACTCTCAAAAGGCTGTCCCTAAACAGCAGGCACGAGCAAGAGGAGCCTGAGCTATCGCTTCCACCCAAGTGCAGTTCACCAGATCTCTCACCAGCAGGGCTGCAGCCGGCCTCAGCTTCCATCCTGACCCGTTATCCCCTGCCCTTACACACCCCAGTCCATTCTCCAACCACAGCCAAAGGGATCTCTTAAAAGTGCACACAAGGCCGGCTGCAGTGGCTCACGCCTGTAATCCCAGCACTTTGGGAGGCCGAGGCAGGCGGATCACCTGAGGTCAGGAGTTCGAGACCAGCCTGGCCAACATGGTGAAACCCCTGTCTCTACTAAAAATACAAAAATTAGCCAGGTGTGGTGGCGCGCACCTGTAATCCCAGTTACTCGGGAGGCTGAGGCAGGAGAATCGCTTGAACCCAGGAGGCAGAGGTTGCAGTTAGCCGAGATCACACCACTGCACTTCAGCCTGGGTGACAGAGCGAGATCCGTCTCAAAAAAAAAAAAAAAAAAAAAAAAAGTGCACAACGGGTAAGGTCAGTTCTCTTGCTAACACGTTCCCAAGGTTTCCCCTACTCAGTTGGAACCAAAACCAAACTCCTTATTTTGGCCTATAAGAACCCGCTTCACCTGGCACATGCCCACCTCTCCTGCCACAAACAAGGCCTTCTCTCCCCCCACCTCCCGCTTTGCTCTCTCTAATCCACCTGTAGCGCCCCTCCAGGACCTCCAGCAGCTAGAATGTCATGTCCTTGAAGAGGCTTTGCCAAATCAAAAGTTGCCACTCCACCCGGTTGTATTTGAGACTTCAGAGCGCTTCTTACTATAGAAGTTCTCTTCATTTTACTTGTATATTACATGCTTCCCTCCCTCCGCATACCCCTCCTAGAAGGTAAGCTTCCTGGAGAGCAGGGGCTCCGCCTAGTCCCCCGCGACATCCCCGCACCCAGCTCCGAGCCCGGCACAGACTAAGTACTCGGCCAACCGGGATCGAATGAATGAATGGAGCCGCCGCGCCGCGTTGCCTCAGGAATCCCGGGCAAGCGATCCTGACGCGCCCGCACCGTCCCGGGCGGCGGGTCCACCCGGGCGCACGGTTCGGGGGACCGGGCAGGACTCGGCCCGCACCCCCACCCGGCCGCGCGTCCGGCCCGGACGCTCCAGGTGCCTCCCCGGAGCGCGAGCGCCCCCATCGCCTACCCGGGCCGGCGGTTCCCCCGCACTCACCATGGTGGCTGGGCGGCCGCCGCCCCCGCCTTGCGAGCAAGGAGCGCTGGAGAAGCGAAGGCGAGAGGCGAGCGCAAGAGCCGGTGCGGCTGACAGGTGAGGCGCCCGGCTTAGACCATGGCTGCTTCCCACAATGCCCTCGCGCTGAAAGTTTTCAGACTCCTCCCAGCGCGGCTGCCTCCTCCCCGCGCGCTCCTCCCCGCTGCCTCCTCCCTGCGCACTCCTCCCCGCTCCCCCCCTTCTCCCTTCTCCTCATCTTCTTTCTTCCCTTCTCCTTCCTCCTCCCTTCTCCTCCTCCTCCTTCCTCCTTTCTGCCTCTCCTCTGTACCCCCTCCCCGCCCCCGCCTTGGCCGCAGTTGCTCCCGCCCAGCGCGGCCGCACCTGGGGAGAATGCACCTGCGCGCGCGCGCGCCTCTACCCCGACAGCCCGCAGCTCGGAGCAGGTGGGCAGGCGAGAGCTCGTGGCCCGCTAGGAACTCCCTGCGCGGAGAACTCTGGGGACCTTTCGCGATTCTGCCGCACGATTGTGTCCTGTATTCCTTCTACAAACGTTCATCAGACCTGACAAAGATACTTCCGATATACTCGCAGAAAAGTGCCGGAGGCTGTCTTATCCCGAGCCTCCTAGGGAGGGAGCAGTTGGCAGAGAAGGAACTAGAAGCGATTTCTTATCCCCTTCTGCCCCCATTTCACTTTTTAAAAAGTAAACTCTGAAGTTTAAGGGCAAAGATCATTTTAAGCAGGACTTTATTTATTTATTTGTTTGTTTATTTAGAGACGGAGTCTCGCTCTGTCGCCCACTCTAGAGTGCAGTGGGGCAATCTCGGCTCCCTGCAACCTCCGCCTCCTGCATTCAGGGTGATCCACCCGCCTCGGCCTCCCAAACTGCTGGGATGACAGGCGTGAGCCAGTGCTCCCGGCAGCACGCCCTCCTTTTAAGAAGTCTCTCCTAAGAAGTGGTGGTGTAGAGAGTAGGTTCTCCAATTTCTCTCCTCCCCTTGACTTTTCTTAAGTCTAGAGATTTTACCTGGGGCGTTGAGAGTCTCTAAACCCCCAACCTGTAAGCAGAGTTTTTTCTTTTTTCTTTTAATTATATTTACCAGATAGACAGACTAGATGTAAACAAAGTTTTGAATGCATATTTCTGTTTTTTTGAGAAAGGGAGTCCACTGGTTTTATTAAATAGCTAAAGAGATCCTACATCCTGCAAAAGTTAAGAATCATTTCCTGGGCCAGGCCTGGTAGCTCACGCCTGTAATCCCAACACTTTGGGAGGCCGAGGTGGGCGGATCGCTTGAGACCAGAAGTTCGAGACAAGCCTAGCCAACATGGTGAAATCGCATCACTACTAAAAATACAAAAATTAGCTAGGCATGGTGGCACACGTCTGTAGTCCCAGCTACTAGGGAGGCTGAGGCAGGAGAGAATCGCTTAAACAGGGAGGCAGAGGTTGCAGTGAGCTGAGATCATCCAGCCTAGGTAACAAAGTGAAACTCAGTCTGGGAAAAAAAACAAAACAAAACACCATTTCCTGGGTGATCCCTGGAACCCCAAATCAGTGAAAGTCCTTCCCAGGATCTGTTGTGTACCTTCCTATGGATGTAGGCCCACCCAGGTGACTGAAAGTAAGGGGAACTCCATCCACCCCTGCATTCACACTGCAAATATTCATCACTAGGCCAGGCCCTGCAACAGGAGCCTGGGGGACCCAGCTGGGAACAAACAGGTGGTCTGTCTCCTGGAGCTTACAGTCTCTTGTGGGACAACACATAATAAACAAGTAAATAAAATATAAAATATAAGAAATTCAAATGAGTGCTAAGAAGGAGATATTTGAGTTCCTGGGATGGGCACAGGGAAGCTACATTGATTTAGCTGAGTGGTCAAGTAAGTGCCCTCTGGGGAGGTAACAGGAGACTTGGATGTGAGAAGCCAGTGCTCTGAAGAAGAAGAAGAAAAAAAAGTCCTTCTGGAAAGACTTCAAAAAAAGGCCTCTATGTGAGTTAAGTGCCAGGAGGCCCAGAGGTGGGCAGGGGCCAGAGGCAATGAGTGTTCTCTACATTAGGACATCACTGCAAGCCCCCAGGAGAGCTAGAGCCTCCAGCCTCAAAGCTCTGAAACCTGGACTTGTGACATTCTGCCGGGGGCATTGGAAGAGGACTGTCTGACAACAGTTAAAGCCCAGGCAGTGGGGTGATTTCACTTCCTGAAAGAAAAGTGAATCTAGGAGAGCTACTTTTTAACTCCTGTGTTCTCCCCGCAGGGCCTGTTCCTTCCCTAACTCAGGACATCATGCTTTATCTAACTAGATAGAATCTAATGTTTGTGCTTCTCCTCCTTTCTAGGTAACTTCAGGACAGGGCCCATCTCTGTGTCACCATCCAGAGCCTTCTGTTGTAAGGGTTTCTTTGCTAGTGGGAAAGAAGCAGAATTACTAAAGGTGAATTTCAAAGCTAAAGAAATCTCAGGCCAGGCACCATGGCTCATGCCTGTAATCTCAAGACTTTGGGAGATGGAGGTGGGTGGATCACCTGACATCAGGAGTTCAAGACCAGCCTGGCCAACATGGTGAAACCCCTAATACAAAAATTAGCCGGGTGTGGTGGCGGGTGCCTGTAATCCCAGCTACTCAGGAGACTGAGGCAGGAGAATCGCTTGAACCCCGAAGGCGGAGTTTGCAGTGAGCCGAGATCCCCACTGCACTCCAGCCTGGGCAACACTATGAGATTATCTCAAAAAAATAAAAAATTTTTAAAAAGCTGAAGAAATCATCTCAGTGCTCTTGCCATGACAGTTAAGTCAAATATTAAAACAAGAGAGGCCAGGAGTGATGGCTCATGCCTGTAATCCCAGCACTTTGGGAGGCCGAGGTGGGTGGATCGCCTGAGGTCAGGAGTTTGAGACCAGCCTGACTAACATGGTGTAACCCTGTCTCTACTAAACACAAAAAAATTAGCCAGGCGTGGTGGCACGTGCCTGTAGTCCCAGCTACTTGGGAGTCTGAGACAAGAGAATGGCTTGAACCTGGGAGATGGAGGTTGCAGTGAGCCTAGATTGTGCCACTGCATTCCAGCCTGGGCAACAAGAGCTAAACTCCATCTCAAAAAATTAAAATTAAAAAAATAAAGCAGGAGAAGGTTCCCTTACCGTGTGGCTCATGGTTGGAGAGGGTGTAATTAAAGACGTGGAGGGTGAGGGGGCAGGTAACTTAAAAAGTATTAGTGTCCTTTGCCTTTCCTCCTGGCCTGGCTGAGATGGGCAGTGGATGCTCTCTGGGGCCTCTGCCACCCAGTGTGTTTCCCTCCAGATTCTCACACCATACCCCAAATCACCAAAGAGGGAGGCCTGCAGTGAGCCGGACACTTCACAGGGTTATCTTAGCTGCCCCTAAAATAATGTGTAAGAAAGGGAGCACCGTGGACATGGTACAGGTGAGAGCCTGAGGCTCAGAGGCTCAAAAGGAATAATAAGAGGCATGCTGGGCACAGTGGCTCAGGCTTGTAATCCCAGCGCTTTGGGAGGCCGAGGCAGGAGGATTGCTTAAGGTCAGGAGTTTGAGATCAGTCTGGGCAACATGGGAAGACCCCATCTCTATTTTAAAGATAATAATAACAAAAATAAGTATAAAAAGAAGCTAATAAGAGGCAGGGATAAGCCTAGAATCAAGGCACTAAGATTCAAGTTGGTTCCCCCTAAAGCCCTACTCCTGACAGACCTACTCAGAACACAATAGTGAGAGTTAAGCAGCGTTTATGTCGTCACTCATTTGTCTCAGAAGAATAACATGCATTTTTAAGCTTTGACTTCTCCTTTAAAAAAAAAAAAAATCTATAGAGATAGGATCTTACTATGTTGCCCACGTTGATCTTGAGAATTCCTGGCCTCAACGGATCCTCCTGTCTTGGCCTCCCAAAGTGCTGGGATTATAAGCATGGGCCACCACACCCAGCCTTAGTCTCGACTTCTGTATCCCATCATGCTCCTGTTCAAACTCCTGACTCCACATCAGGCCCACCAATAGCAAAACCCCAGGGAGGACCCAGAGGCCCTATCACTCAAGATGTACCACTCTGAAGAGGAGTTCCCTGGTCAGATCCTAAAGAGGCTTTTAGATTCAAAATCTAATGTCATAGAAGACCAGTACAGTGTATTACGTGGTTCCGGTTAGGTTGTTTATGAGCTGGTGCATGTGACTCTCTGTGTGTATATTTATTCATAAAACAATGCCCTGGCATTTGGTCAACTTGATTTAGGAGTTTGACTTCTCAGATCATTCTATATTTAAATATTAGCAGAAGATGCAGAGAGAGTGCAGTAAAAGCCACCATCAAGTCCACAGCAAGGGAGAAGAGCAAGTTAGGGACAAGATAATAAAGTAAAATAATGATAATCTATAAACCAAAATACTAACTTCAGAGAAACTGAGAAAGATCAAGCTGTGAGTTTAAGAAACTGAAAGAAGCAAAGGAGAGGCCAACTTCAAAGTCAGCTTACGCAGTGCCTTCACAGGCATTAATTGAAGCCTGATCCTGCTGTTCTTTACTGCCCTCTTATTAATGTCTTAAGTAATCAACATCGCCAGTAATCCCTTCTGCAACGTTCAGGAATTCATCTTGTCAGGGTGAAACTTTTAGTATGAGGCCTTATGCTCTTTAGAAACACCCTTTGCTTTCCAAAAGAGGGCCTATTATTCCAAATGGAAAAACTCTACTAAATATATTTCTAAAGAGTATTTTTTAAAAATTTTTAATTATAAAATAATATAGGTTCATTGCAGATTTGGAAAACATCGGAAGGTGTTATTTCAAAACCTCACTCTAGGCTGGGTGCAATGGCTCACCTCTCTAATCCCAGCCGTTTGGGAGGCTGAGGCTGGCGGATCACCTGAGGTTAGGAGTTCGAGATTAGCCTGGTCAACATAGTGAAACTCCGTCTCTACTGAAAATACAAAAATTAGCTGGGCATGATGGCAGATGCCTGTAATCACAGATACTTGGGAGGCTGAGGCAAGAGAATCTCTTGAATCCAGGAATCGGGGATTGCAGTGAGCCGAGACCACACCATTGCACTCCAGCCTGGGCAACAGGAACAAAGCTCCATCTCAAAGAATAAAAAATAAACAGAAAATAAAAACCTCCCTCTGATTCTACCAACAAGAGGCCAGGTGAGCTGGCTCCCGCCTGTAATCCCAGCACTTTGGGAGGCTGAGACGGGTGGATTGCCTGAGGTCAGGAGTTCGAGACCAGCCTGGTCAATATGGTGAAACTCTGTCTCTACTAAAAATA